TAGGAAGGATTTGTAAACAAGTTCCTAATCTACATACTGAAGTACCTACATGGGGCATAAAGTGCATTTGCTCAGACTTGATTTTGGAAAGGGAGAATAAACTTCCTAGTGCTTCCTAGTGTTCTTCCATTTTAAATGCTGAACCCCTACAGAATTAAGTAGTTTATTCCTGCAATTTCACAACATTTTAAGGGCATTTATATTATATATCACTCCTGACAGGATCATATTTTCTCAATATATGCCCAACTTACCCATTCTGTTCAAATGTATATGAAACCGAACAAATACATTTATGCTCGGGAGGTAGGCTGCATCATATTGCAGTCATAGATAAATCAGACTTTCTCCCACTTCCTTCTTCCCAAAAGAGGAAGTGGTAAGCTGAAGATGGCATTGACACCATCTGCCACACTTGCTCATAATTTTATCTTTGGTTTTGGTTTGCCTGCTTATTCCTTTAGTACAGTCAAAGTCTGAAGTCAGTAGCACTTCTTATCCATGGCTCAGCTTTCTCTTCAGTTGAGAGCTGCTCAAGAACTTTAATGAAAAACAACTCAAGAATATGTGGGCAATACACTGGATTGTCCAGCATCTTGCTGGCTCCAGGCAGGTTGGGTCTCTCAGGTTTGTCACAGGTCATTCTGGGTAGCATGTTGACTGTACTGAACATTTTGCAGGCCCTCAGAGCCTTGGCCAGGACCGAAGTTGGATAAATTACACATTTTAAAAACAGGATTTATTCTATACCAGCCCCAATGAACTGTCATAATGCTTGAACTGCCATAACCCTTGCCTGTTTCTCAGCCTCTTGCTTCACCACCACCCATTCGTAGAAGAGATGCTTCTGTTTAATCTCCCTGTCCTGTCCCTGTCACCATGTCGTGCCTTTAATATTTCTTGTAGCTTAAAGTCACATTCCCCATGAGCCTCTTCAGATCCTCATGTGAGCTTCTTCCACCCTGTGCTTCTGCTCTCCTTTCTCCCTACTCTAGCTTTTGTTGCAAATCCCCTCTTCCGTGCTGGTCTCCAAAACCCACTTCTTCGTTTGGGGGATTTTGCATCATCCTCCCTAGATGTGTTCTCATGTACACTTCAAAGACTGTCATCATGTTTCCTTTATCTCTGTGGCATTGAATGAAAGGTGGGAAAGATATGATGTTTTCCTTACTATGCGTTCTGAAGAGTCATATGCATGATCAGTTACTCACATATCTGCATGTTGAGATGTTAGAAGAAAATGCTACCTGGTGACTCATCAACACCTGTGCTTTCCTGGGAACTTTCATGCTCAAGTAATGACAGAGCCTATCTTGTTCTAATTACAGAGGTTGAGTTACATGTTTGTATGGCTACTAGCCAGTTGAGAGCAGAGAGATGTGGCTGTTAAACACTTGTAGGGCTGGTGTTGCTGACTAATGACTTGAATATGGCTTTTCCCCCTCTCTCTTTTTCAAGCATTTGTTCCTCTCACTCCACACATTCTTAGTTTAACACCTGACTTTTCGACTTCCACATTAAATCTGAAGTGGAGTGATAATGGATCAGTCTTCCCATATGGGCTGGATGCCTTTTGGCAGATTCAGATACTCCGTAAAGAAGCAATGGAAGAAGTCACACAAGTAAGTTCTTCTTTATGAAAAATATATATACAGTTTTTGCCATCAGTAATGTTCTGTGAGGTCATTTGAAGAAAGCTGAGAATAATGAAGTTTGTACAGCTTTGCAGAACCTGAGTGTAGTCATGCTTCTGGTAGGTAACTTCTTGTTAATTTTCAAAGTTGTGAGGACACTGGCTATTATACTGCCAGTACTTATTCACAGTCACAGCTTTTTTTTTTATTTTTTTAATATAGTACTTTTTTTAATTAAAAGTTGCTTATGAATTTGACAGATATTTTACACCATTATCTCTGCTTTGCTTCTCCAACACTGTCTCAAGTCTTGGTGGTCTTTGAATATTCAGTTTGGGGTTTTTTTTTTTGCCACCGCAGTTATTCCAGGCCGATTTATAGCTCTGTTCTATAGTTTTGAGGAATGGAGAAAAGATAAAATGTGCAGCCTGGGACTAATATTAGAAGAGTTTCATTTTGGAACAGTTGGAACATTTCCCTGCCTGGGAGAGGCCCAGGATACTGGGATTCAATATATACCTTTTGAAATGCTTGGCAAGCTTCCTGCTCTCCCTCAAATGCCTGCCCTCTGGTATTTCTGGCTGGCAGTCTACCTGGCTGTTGGGCTGTTTAGCACCTTAGGCTTTTGTCCAAGTAAATTCACAACACAACTGAAAGTTAGGGGGGACACTCCAACCATCTATCAGTATTTTATGATTTACTTCACTTAATTTGCCATTCTGTTGACAACTGGGAGATTATTCCCCTGTACTCAGCACTGGTGAGGCTGCACCTTGAATGCTGTGTTCAGTTTTGGGCCCCTCACTCCAAGAAGGACATCGAGGTACTGGAGTGTGTCCGGAGAAGGGCAACAAAACTGGTGAAGGGTCTAGAGCACAAGTCTTAGGAGGAGCAGCTGAGGGAACTGGGGTGGTTTAGTCTGGAGAAGAGGAGGCTGAGGGGAGACCTTATTGCTCTCTACAACCACCTGACAGGAGGCTGTAGTGAGGTGGGGGTCAGTCTCTTCTCCCAAGTGACAAATGATAGGACGAGAGGAAATGGCGTCAAGTTGTGCCAGGGCAGGTTTAGGTTGGATATTAGGAAAAATTTCTTCAGCAAAAGGGTTGTCAAGTATTGGAACAGGCTGCCCAGGGAAGTGGTTGACTCCCCATCCCTGGAGGTATTTAAAAGAGGTGTAGATGCGGTGCTTAGGGACATGGTTTAGTGGTGGACTTGGCAGCACTACGTTAACGGTTTGACTTGATGATCTTAAAGGTCTTTTCCAACCTAAACTATTCTATGATTCTGTGATTCTATATGTCATTGCTAACAGGTGTTCATAAACTCTCTCTTGGTTGTTTTTTTGGGGGAAAACTTTGTAGGTAACTTACTATTCAAAACTGACTCATGAAGACATCATTCTTTCTTGGAACTGGACATCAGATATGCCTTTGGAGTGTACATCGCATTATGTAAAGATTCGCTGTTACGTTAATGTAACACAGTTTGTTGGCCCCAAGGATTGGAGTGACTGGAGCCCAGTAGAAGAGGTCCCTGGTATGTTTGTTCTCCTGCTACCACATGGACTTTGATTGCTTTGTGAAAAGCAAGCCAAAATCAGAGGAAAAGCGTTAGGCCATGATGGGCTGCTGCTTCCGGGGGTCTTTTGATGAGAGAAATAATGCAATCATTAGTTAATGAAACCTAGGGAACATTGATTTGTATGCATTGGAGTGCTCCTAAGTAACATTTTAGCTGATCAGCACCATGTTTATAGCAAATGGTTCATGTGAGGTTTTTTTTCTGTTTTTGTTTTCTGTTCTTCCTTCTCTGCTAGGAAAAGATACCGAGCCCAATGGGAGTGGGGTGTTTCCTCAGGACACCGTGGTGGCAGTAGGTTCAGATGTGACAATTTGTTGTGTCCATGAAGAAGGACAGCAGATACAACGGATGACTTATGGACCAGAAATATACCCAATGATACATCTGAGTAGGCGGAGCAGTGCCATCAGAGTGCTAAATGCCAGTGCTTCAGATACCAGTGGGACAAATGTAGTGTGCATACTGTCCGAAGATGAGATGGATGGAACTGTCTTGTTTGTAGGATGTACGTATCATTATGATTACTAACCTTAGGAAAATAAAAATCATTTTGAGACTCTTAGGGTTCTCCTAGGAAACAAATACTATTGTGGCTTTTTTCCCCCTGGCCTTTGGTTTCTGAGGATGAACTGGGATTGTACTTGTCTGATTTCACTATGGAAACTCCAGCCTCTGGAGAAGACACCAAGGCTGGGAGGATGAGGAAGTACACATGTAAGCCCTCTTCTCTTAGAACCTGGCCCAGTGCTTCTCTCCTTGATCTCTTTTTCTAAGGCACTTCTTCATGATCTGGAATACTTAGTAGTTTATTGCCATATGAAGATTCATCCTCAGTCTCTATCATTTTAGGTTTACATCTGTTCTGGTTTGGTCCATGACTGGGCAAGAGTAAGAGCAAGAAGTGTAAGTGAAAACATTCATTTACCAACCAGTCAAATGAAGACAATAAAAGAGTTAGACTTGCAACAACAACAGATGCTTATCCAGGGCAGTAGCTCCCTGAGAGCTAATTACAGAAAGGAACCCAGCTGACAGTTTTGTTTCCTGGAAAATCTTCTAAACATTCTTTTAGTATTTTCTTTAAAGCTACTGAATGACTGTGTATCTTCTCTGTGTGATCATGCCAGCCTCAGAAATCTCTTCCAGATACAGATACTTCTTAAAACAAACTACTGAAAGTACCTGGTTCTTCTTTCCCATAATCGGTCACTTCAGAGGTTTGTGTGTTTTCCCCACAGGGGTTTTGAGAGTTATCATCTTCCAATAGCCGCCCATTAGAATCCTGTTCCCCGTTACAAATGCCTGCCTTTGAACTTAGGGTCCATGGGGTTCAGGGAAAGGAGAGGAGAGGACAGACTGGACTCATTTTGAAAGTGTGTTCCTAACTCCAGCCTGTGCCTCCTGTTCATGACTTTGTGTATTAAGTGTGTGATAGCAAATGAAAAACAGAATCCAGCCTTTATGACTTCTCAGTGAGATGCCATTTTTACATTATTTGTGCAGTATTTGCTTTTGTGGGAGGATCATCCAAGTAAATACATCAGTGGTTCATGAACAAAGGCTGTGATAATCCCATAGGTTTTTCCCATACAGTGGTTTTTGAAGAGCTGGGATGTGGTGAAGTTTGTTTCCGGCCAATGTTTCTTCTTGTGGTACCTACTTAGTGGGAGGTGAGAGGACTTACTGTGATGCTTTTGCTGATCAGACACATTTGGGGAAGAAAAGATAGAGGAAGTAAATGTGTGTGCACACCACCTTGGTTAAGCCTAGGCCTGGCAAAATAAGTGTTCTTTTTGGCCCGCTGTTCATAATCTGAACTAAGCCTGTCACTGTTGCCTCTTGTGTTAGCGTCCCTTCTCTAGGGCAGCTACATGAATATTATTGTGCTCACTTTTGGAGAAAAGTGAATGAGACTTGAAATAAGGCACTCAACACTGCTCTCGTATGGAAGCAAAGAACAAGCTTTAAAAGAAAAAGATTCCAGAGCAACGGTGAAGAGGATAAGCCATTTGGGGCTTGCTTTAACTTTCAAATTCAGTGTAGAATTCATGCTGAAGGGGACATCTCCTTGACATGACTTGCTTGGAGAATTCAAAGCAGTGGTGGGGGTGGCGTGTAAGAAAATGTGACGCACAGCCGACAGCATTCCCATTCCTGCATTGCTCGGTGGCTGAACTGATGCTCAGGGTTTTGGAAAAGTCTTGGCAGAGTTTCAGTGAAACACTTCCAGGTCAGAGCCTGGAGCTTGTGAACATATTTGCATGTGATTTACCAGATTACCCACCCACTTAGAAGCCTAGAGTCAAGTGTTAGTCAGATGGGGCTGATAATAATTATCCATCTGTTTTATTGGATTTTTTAAAGCATATTAATTATATGGTTGGAGCATAACTATTACCGTGTGTTTGTAAGGCACGCAATCTAGAGCCAGCAAAAATGAATGGTGAAGGTTTCAGGAAGCGTCCCAACTGTCACATTAGGATGGCAAAGCATCAGCTAACTGTTTTGGTTTCCTTTCATGCTACAGATGCCCCTGATATTCCCCAAGACCTCAGCTGTGAAACATCCAACTTCCTGATAATAAAATGCACTTGGAAACCAGGCAGACCCAGTGGACTATATGGAAAACGAAGAACAAAGTACAGTTTATTTGAAAGGTAAAATAGTTCAGCACTAAAAGGAGTAAAAGGGTAGAACTGGAATATATCCATTGCTGCCTGTGACTTACTGCACCATGCCTATTTAAATGAGATAATCTCCATTGTTTAGAGCCTAAATACTTTTCAAGAGTTTGTGGAAGTTGAAACTAAACTGAAGTTGGAGAACTCTTGTCTAGCTCTGCAAAATTCCAATGGGAATTATGGATGGCTTTTCCCAAAGAGTTGTGCCATTATGAACTCATGAGAAAATAAAGGGCTTAGTGTGTCAGGCTGCTACCAAGATGTAGATAAGACCAATATGAAAATACAGGGAGATATTAGGAGTCATTCACTAATTTTAAATTTTTTTTTATTTGCAACCTGTGTCAGATCATCTGTCAGACATGTACTGAGTTTCTGTTGTGCAGGATGACAGAAACTCACTGAGACACAATTGTAAGACAGGCCATGGGGCTTTTCCCAAATATTACCAGGGAAAATAGCAGTAAGTCTATACCTGTTCTCCTCCTAGCATTAAGAGCTAGATAGTGTAGAGCACGCAAAGGGCATGTTACCTGGAAAACATTGAAAGGGACAAATAACAATGCCGTCATCCACAGGAAGAAGTGAAGACTGGTGTCCCACTAGTTTGTCTTAAATCGTAGGCCATGTAAAGCCTTAAAAGTGAAGAATTGTTGCTTTGGAATACCACTTGCAAATGGGATTCCTTGGTGGTTGTGATTAGAAGTTAGTGAGGAGTTAACAAAATTCCTGTGGCAAGGAGGCTCCCCCATAATGCCAAGGAGCAGTTAGTGAAAGGAGCCAGAAGAGGCCTGAGTCACACAAACAGATGGGAAATGGAGTCTCATGGTGGCTTTGAAGCAAGTCAGAGGCAATGAGGATTGAGTTACAGTCACAGATGTTGTCCAGGATGCTAGTGCTAAAAAGTCATTGGGTAGGGTGCAAAGAGGTGGATAAAACAGAGCAGGTATTCAAAGGAAAGCAGCTCCAGTCACCAGCTGCCCATATTCAGCTCATAAACAAGGATGTAGTTCAGACTTGTTTTGCTCAGCCCAAAGCTCTGAGGAGATAAATGTGATGTGTTTCAGGGTAAATATTCTCATCCTTGTTCCCAGCCCACACTGAGCTATTGAAATGGAGAGCATGGTGTGGAGAGAGCTCAGAGCTCAGCTAGAACACAATAAAAATGCCTGAAGGAAGGAATTAAACTTGTGCTACTGAATGAGAGGTTTACAGAGATTGTAATTAAAGCAACTTCTATATATGTATATACATACAGATACACACTTTAGATTTTACCGCTAAAGATGTAACTCTGGTCTTGGCTGTTACGAGACTGCCTCTCCTGCTTTTCATTTAAAAACGGCTGGGACTAGTGGATGTATCCCAGGTAACAAACCTTAGTTTAGATTTGGCAGGGCTGATAGAAAGACGTAATGTACTTTGCATCTCCCTAGTTCAGAAAGCAATTAAGAACATTCTTTAAATGCAAATGTATGCTGATCTGAACAAAGATACTTTAAATCAGAATCTTAGTTGTGACTTGTGAGGTGGTTTTACAGGACCTACCTGTTTTCCAGGCTTTTGAGAAGTGAGAGGATGGAAATGTTATGCTAGTGGAAGAGGAGTTTCACATGAGAACAGGGCAAGTCATGACTGATGCCACTTTAACCTGCGTTGTGGTGTTAGATATGCCTCTGCAATCAAATCATTCTGTAAGCCATGTGTCAGTGAACCCATCGTTCTTTGCTGTGTTTTCAGTCTAGACTTCTGACTGTTGCTAGAAATTATCTTACTCAAAAATTAAGTTGTTCCTCCCTGCTTTTTTACTTTGTAGAACTTCTGGTAAAAATGTTTCATGCGAAGTCAATGAAATGAACAGAGAGCGTGTCTGTGGCTTCCCAGTACTGGCTGATCAAAAAACCTACAATTTCATATTAGGCGTCTCCAATCCTATCGGGCAAACAGAGTCATCGCTTTTGGTTGATTTAACTCAAAGAGGTAAGACTTAAGAATTACAAAGGCAAAAAGATATGTTTACTGCATGCTAACCATTTGTTTGTTTTGGGTTTGAAGAACTCTGACATGGTGTACTTGTTGTTATTTTGCTTTATTGTCACCAGTGTTTTGCCATGTTCAGTAATTTCAACTTGAAAAGAAAATAGCTTAGGACATGTCCTGAAGCAACAATTAGGTGTACAGGGAGATGCCAGTTCTCCACAGCAGTGCTACCAGATTGGATACACTGCTGTGTGGATAAATGCTACTTGTGATCTAATAATTAGCCAGCTGCTGTTTATGTATTACTTCATATTCTGTTACACATCGATAATTAAAATTTAGGTGTAACTTTATGAACTGTGAGTGACCCTGTATTTCAGTGTCTGCTTATAGGGCAAAATATTATGCAGGTTTACAACAGCAGGATTTGGAGCATAAAAAAAGTAGCCCTAAAAGGTAACAGCAGGACTATTACCTGTTATTGGTAATAACCATGATCATCTGCTGTCATGGTTTATAGAAAGAAATTACTTCTTTCATTAGACCTTTAGCTTAAGCAAGGAAAGGGAGAAGATGACCACCTTTCTAGTGCTGTCTACCCTGTCCTTTTCCATCTGCCTCCACAACCACAGCTGAGGGTTCAGGGGTTCCTAACGGTTACAGAATTCTGCTGTTGTCTCTGAAAACCTGCACTTGACATTGAAGGTGGTGCATTTTTTTTGTCCATGTTTCAGTTCAACTAGCCCGAGATTAGAATTGTCAGAGTAAATTGGCAGGTCCTAAAAAAGCATAATTTTCTGTTAATTCTAAACTGGGCTGTTTTGCACCCAGTCGATACAACTGCTATTTCCTATTTGTTTCCTTTCCTTTCTTTCCCTCGCTGTCCACTTAATTCCCAACATAGAGTACATTTTTCCTTAATGGTAACGGGACCAATTCCAACAGTAGAGGTTTTTTTCTCTGATAGCTATGAATAGTAGTAGTGAATATTATTGAAAAATTCTGTGAACGGAGTTTTCGGGAGGGAGAGGTCATTCAGGAGTCCTACCCTGTCCTAGTCTGCAAATTTTAAGTTCTAACTTACAAAGTTCCCAGAAGGTGAACAAAGTTGAGTTAATTTCATCCGTCACTGTGGTCCTCTGAAATAGTTCATGTTTTGCTTTTTTGATAAAGTCAGTAGGAGGGGAAATGTTTTTCTGTGTCTCCAACTCCTTATCACACATGCTAGTATGCTTGGCCTTAAGTAAATCTGTTCTGATGTTTGATAACTGAGAGGAGCCTCAGGAATGAGACTGCTTGCTTCCCAGCACCAGCTGTCCTAGTTGCTGATCGGATCACTTATTTATCCTTCTGATTCTCTTTGATCTTTTAAAATCAGATTTTTCTGAACTAAAGTGAATGATTTTTTCTTAGAACTGAGGGTTTCTTTCTTTATTTTTTAAGTTCATCCAAAAACTCCAGAAAAGTTAACTGCTTCTGGGAACAGCTCTACAAATGTCGGTCTGCGTTGGTTTATAAATGGCAGCTTTGCTGAGATCAGGCTTCTGTGTCAAATTGAAATTAGCAGTGGTTACTCTGAGCGAAAACTGGTAAGTGTTGCTTTTAATGGATTTTTTTTTTTTTTTTTGGCTCAGATGTTGATCTTTTTCACTGAACTAATTACGTTTCAAATTCTTTTCTCTCTAAGAGCTTCATTCTGATCATCTTATTAAGTGATTAATGTGGTAATGACTAGAAGTTCATCTACTAAAATCAGAAAAAGTTCTGCTCATCTCCGTTGTTGCCTGCTTTCTTTTTTTTTTTGGTTGGCTTTAAAGAATTTAGAGGAAAGTCAAATTACCCACCATGTTATTTGGTACTTGGAGAGGGTGCATAGTGCTTTACGCTGACCCTTTAGGTAACAGTCCTTGCGCTTTGCCCTTCCTTGTGCAAACTGTATTAACACATGCTTGTTCCAGGATGCGCTGCTGCCCTGCAGACTTCCACAGCGGTTGTTTCAGATTGCCTCTTGCAGTCTGGAGCTGAATTCCTTCTTTTTTTTTTTTCTTTTCCCTCAGAGAACAGTTCATTTGCTTTCTGTCAGCAATTGACATGCATGTGGCTATAGTAAGGAGCTGCTAAACCTGCTCATATGTCAGTGGTATAAAGACAGGATAGGGAAGGATTCTCCCACTGGGCGTATCAGTAGGTAATCCCCAGTGAAGACCTCTGCAGCTGGAGAGAAGGTGGTATTTCTGGGTGGGGTTCACATTTTCCAGCGTTCAGGCTTCCAGCTGCTGCCTGGCTTTGGTGCTCTGCATCACCGACTGAAGCCGCATATTTACTCTGCTGACTGTCAGAGGAGCTTAGGATGCCAATTTAGACACCAGTATCAGATACTGAGTGTAGGTGGTGGGAATACATCCTCTTCTTCCGTATTGCCTAACTTAGCGTGGGGTGATCTGCATCACTGGGGGAGCCTAATGGCAGAACGGCATGTTCAGTTGCCCTGAGGTTTACCCCCAACTTCTGTGTTTGTGTGTTCAGATGGAGTATTTCTGACCAGCTTGGGTAGGCACATGCTGAATTACCAGGTTTTGGTGCACAGAGCCTGAATTTGTCATTTGAGCACGTTAACTTCAGAGGCTGCCCTTTACAATGCTTGTTTGATTTTTAGCAGGAGTATTCTATTACCCACTGCATTTAGTTGCCTTTTGGGCACAGCTGTTGGGCACAGCCTTGAATAAAGTCACTCAAGCCACATAAGCGGTGCAGCTAAGACTGAAGATAATCATTATATACGTTGCCTTTAAAATAATACGGTAGTAGTTAATGCATGTTCTATAAGAGTATTTTTTAAATACTTTCAAAGCACTTAATGAATGTGGAAGCCTTAAGCTTTTATATTTTCTCTGTAATGACATATGTTAAGTAGTATCTAGAGATTAGGTACTGCAAAGAAAATCATAGATATCTTTGGAATTAACAGCAGAAGGAACTGGCTTCTAGATGTACATAACAGCTCACAGTTGTCTGCATTTCTCTGCTCAGTTACTGCTTCTGGAGCAGTCAGCAGGGGAAACAAACACCCAGGTGTCACCCACCCCCAGCTCAGTTAGCTTAAACTGCTAAAAAAGTAGGTTTGCACAGTTCTGCCTACCCACAGTTACTTTGCTCAAAGCCTGGGGCACACACTTGCTTGTGAACTCTGCTGCCAGGTCAGTAATCTGGGGCAGTGGGAGATGGTAAGGTCTTACGCTCCCGCAGCTGTTTGATTCGCTGCACCTGTATCGGAGCCCACAGCTAGAGGCATTTTGAAACACAGCAAACAGCTTGGTAGAAGCTTTTACAGCCTTGTTATGTCGTCTCTGGTTGCTTAATAAAAAACCTCCAAGAGTTCCCTGTAATAAACAAAAGTAGCTGTGAAATTGTTATGGGGTTTTACATGGCATTTTGAGGATGTTTTCAGAAGCTTTTCCATCCGTATGAGAGATTGTTGCTTTTTTTTGTATTTTTCAAGTTGTCATTTAGCTTTAGAAATGCACAATTAGTTGCAGCTTAAAGTCACTTGGAGTCCATTTTTTGGCAGCTGTGATGCACATGTGTTATAATTAGATTCAGTAAAAAATATTCCCAGGCTTAGGGTTTCTTTAAGTACTCATGAAACCTAAATATTCCCTAGACTCGCACCGTTTTAAGAACTAACAGGAGAGACTAGTCCTGTCATAAGAGCTGTGAACAGAGGTCACCTGGGTAAGACTTGGATACTATCAGTCGAAGGAAAAAGGACTGCCTAGGAAGAAGACTGCATGATAAGCATCTTGCTCAGACAGACTGTCTTTAGCATGCTTCTGTGCCTGTGTCTTAGGAAAAAGACCTTTGTCCACCCAGTTTGATGTGCACATGCACAGTAGAAGTACAAGTACTGAATACCAGAGGTGAAATCCTGTCCCGCCTTGTGTGAGCAGAAGTTTTGCTGCATATAGGAGAGGGGGACCGGACAGGGTAGATGGGAAGCAGGAGCCTGCTACTGTGTACAGAGCTCATCCCATTGAAGGCTCATCAGTGTTCTCTCTCCTTTTCATGCTTTACATCTCTAAGGTCCTACCTATTGTCACATTTCAACTTCTGTGCTATATGTGACTTTTTCAGAGATCTGTCAAAATAAAATTTCCTTTGTTTAGGGTGACTGCATAGGAAATTCTTTTCTTTTTCATTAATTTCTTTGTAGGGCTTGACTGCAGCTTTTTTCCCACACTGTCGGTATTCTTGGGGAAAACTATCACCTTTTTAGATGTTAAATTCCAGCATAATCTAGGAACAAAAACCATATATGTAACATGTCAATTTCTGTAAATTTTTAACAGCACAATGTCTCCATGCCTGGTGGAAAATTCTCAACTTACACAGCTCAGCTGAATGCATTGCACCCATATACCAGATACCAGTTCAGGGTGCGCTGTTCGGCTGCTGACCATTTCTGGAGGTGGAGTGGCTGGAGCAGGATAGAGGAGCACACAACATTGGAAGCCCGTAAGTTTATTAAATTCTTTGATGATAAAATGTTGAACTTGCGAAGCCATATATTTTAAAATTAGCCATCTGAAAAACTAGCTTTTTGATAGATGGTAAATTGCCTACTGTGCAACTTGGGAAAAAAAAAACAGCTCTTTTTTTTTTTTTTTTTTTTTTTA